ACCTGCAACTAACCACTAAAAATTAAGCTTCTCTGATATTATTGTCCTTAGCCGTAAATAGCATTAGGTCCTGGCTGAATTGAGCATTTGTTACAATCGCTTATTTTCCCTCATGATATAGTCTATGCCATGAGCGAATGATGATATCGTGTGAAGCATTTACTCCTTTCAACGTCATAGTTGTGGTTTACAATCCCCTTCCATTTCAAACGGCTTTCAGCATACCCCACGTTATCTGACTCCAAGTGAGAATGGTAATAACCATGAACAGATGTAATTCGCTACTGGTTCTACACTATCACATCCTGCGGCACATTTCGTAGGCACTCAAATGACCGTTAGTTACTGTTTAACCAAAAAAGTAGAAAGACAGATTGAGCAAAATGTGTAATATATTTATGCCCGACAATTTACCAGAAAGTGGACAAACATGGAATGGATACAGGTAAAAATATTGCACAAACTACTAGATGTGCTTAATGCCTAAATTTGGTATGGAAGTAAGTCCAGGCCTTTATCATAAGCAGTAAAGTTGACGGAGTCGAGATCGCATGCTGTGTTGACGATGCGGGTGGTGGGAGCATTATTGGTAACAGTGGCCGTAGCAGGAGTGGAAAATGGACACTTCTTCAAGTGTCGGATGAGTAGATCACGACGGATGAATGATCGTGGACAGTGAGGACAGCGACAGTGCTTCACCGCCATGTGTGTCTGCATGTGCGTCCGCATGTTCGACCGATCGGCAAAGCCGCGTTGGCAGACGGGACAGATGAAGGGCTTTTCGCCTGTGTGCGTGCGCTCGTGACCCTCAAGTAGCCATTTGCGTGAGAACGCCTTAGCACAGAAGCGACACTTCCACTGGCGTGAGTGACTTTGCTCATGCATTCGCAGAGAGGCAGAGCTGTTGTATGTCTTCCCACACGCTCGGCATTTCCATATCAGTCGCTCTTCCCTGTCCAATCCTTCAACATTTGCATTACTAGGAATTGTAGTAGAACAGACACAGTTATTATGCATGTCCCTCTCATTCGTAGCATTATTGGCATTACCAGTATGACTGACAACGCTTGTGGGTATGGCTATGTTTAGCGGGTTAAGCAGCCTTGATAAAAGCACGTAGTGACACCAAAACAGGTAATTGGAGGCTTCTAGACCGAATTCATGAGACTGCAGTGGAGGAGAGTGCTGATGGATCCGGAGAGGCATCATAGCACCCGAATTGATAGGCAGACTACCAACCTGTGGAAGAGCTGCGATTTGGTTGACTGAGGACACGGACGATGAGACCAAGGATTGGGAGGGAAAGGGCGTGGACGAATTTGTCGCTGCGATCTGTTCATTGTATCCGCACTCAAGTTGTGACATTGATGATGGGTTTGAATGATTAATCGAAGAAGTGGAGGAAAAGCAGGTAGAATCGCCGGTGGTGGCAGATGACGGTAATGAGAATATCGAAGTCATATCAAATGAGATAATGCTTCCGGGTTCAGGATTATACACAGCTTTGTCCTTAGTATCTGGAAGGGATGGCTTTGGGAGCACTTGTTTTGTAGGTGACGGCTTTAGTAAGTCTTCAATGGAAAAGCCTAAATAAATTGGAATAAGTTCTAATACTGATGGAAGGAAATATCTAGCTCATAATAGTGTAAAGTATTTGGCGAATCTGTTCCTGATCGCCACCATAGTAGTACAAATGTAGTTAAAGTATAAACAAAAGTGCATCTCACCATTTCTCATGTTTGGACAGATTTCAGAGGACAGGGCTTTGATCACTTTTTTCTCCTTTTTATATCCTATACATGAAAATCATTGGTTCTGCCACCGACGACTCATTGGTTAATGGTAAAAACAATGTTTAAGACCGAGAGGCGCTATGTTTTAGTGAGCACATCCTGTCACATTCCCTTATATTGTTCATTGATTGCCCTTTCGTTTTAACTGATTTCCTTGATCAGACATTCAAAGTTTACTTAGTGTTATCTTTTTCCCTTCTACATTTAGATACCCTTTATGTCTTTAGGTCAAAGGAACCGCAAAATAGTATGAATATGTTTCCTTGCGCCTCCTCTTATAACCTTTGTACCTAAAAGCCATGATCGACTGTCCGTCTCCAACTGACGTGGAATGGAAGAATTAGGTGATTACTTAGTGTGTGCTTCAGATAGTAAATGCAAGGAAATAGTGTCGCTTCGGGTCAACTTCCAGTGAAGGAGAGCCTTTTCTGTAGTACTTATCTCATGTCTGTGGAAAATCGGCAAATCAATTTAAAAGAACGCACTATGTCGCGTGGCTATGGGCACCCATGCTTGAGATATGCCAAATAATCTGGACTTGGAATGAGATTTTAAACAGGAAATGCTTTTTTTGGGGCCCAACTACGCGGACCTTTGGCTACACAAAACCTGCACTTCGTTGACGACATTATCATTGTTCCCAAATTTGGTGGGAGCCCATTAATCCTTGATGGCAGCCGTTGGCAGCTTCTACCAATGGCAGTAACTGCAATGGAAGACACGAGTGTTGAAGTGAGAGACCTCATCGATGGAGGAGATGAAAGTTGGTGCGCAAATGTGGATTCAGTTTAACTCATTCCACTTGTGCCATTGGCAATGCAAATTAAGTCCTTGCGTCTGCATCTCCAGTGCTGACTGAATCCTTGGCGAGTCTGGTGCAAGCATACAACTGTGCGCTAGTGAAAGCCTTTATGGTCCTCGCGATGCTGGTAATCGGTTGTCGGCATATCCATGCCTTTTTACCCATACACTTCTCCTGCAATTTTAATTGGTTTGGCTCATTTTCCAACGTCATATTCCTTGTCGACAGAGCCATACTCGTGAGCAGGAGCATGAAGTAGCCACTATAGCACAGACCATGACCAACTCAAACCTGGGTAGAATAACCAACTGTGTACTGGCTATCTTCGGCTGGTATGTTTTACTTTAGTGCCGTACTTGCAAGAATCCTACCCTACCAGCATCAGTAGGCCAGAAAATATTTCTAATCATCCCTTAGTTCAGAGTTGTAGCAGTGACCCAAATCAAGTTGCATTAGATCACAGGAGGGAGGTCGTTTTCGCCTTTATTAATGTGATAGTTTCACAAATGATCTTTTGCTGCATATGATAAGCTACAGGTGATATTAGCTCTCCACTTGACGGGGCAGCAGAACAAGCGTGGAATATGAGTAAATAATCTAGAATATTTGTCACTAGATTATAAGTTGAGGCAGACATGGACACGGTGGAGGTGGATTTAGAAGCGAATTGCTGCGCGGAGTCAGAAATTACTTTAAGGGAAATGCAGAACCCACAGATAAGCGTTAGGACATTTTGTGTCATCACCATTGTCATTGCTGCAGCAGCCACGATCTTGAGGACAGCGCAGAGGACACTGTGGGGATGGCTTTTGATGTCCAGGACCTAGTGACAGCCCTCAGAGCTGGCAAACCCAATGGCCATTTCACGTTTACTCTTTACTACGACTTTGCCTAATTTCTTTCGCCTCACTTCCTCATCCAAAGAAGTGATGTTGAGAGTTTCAATTTGTTCTGTACTGAAGTAGGCCTTTTTTTGTTGGCATTTTCACCTCACACTAAAGCAATGAATCTGGAAAACTACCCAAGTGGTGATGCACAGTTGCCTTACACTGGACCGTTTGAGGTCTTCTTTGCCGCAGTAACCATATATGGCTATGGATAATATGCTCAGAAGATGGCAGATCATTTTAAAAAATGTATTTTACGTAACTTAAAAGGCAGTACATTCTTGTTCTTCATTTGTCATCCAAACACTCTAACAGATTCTAAAAGGGCTTTTCAGAGGTTAGAGATTTCAGTGGTTAATTCTCATGGTCATTCATGTGGGAGAATTTTGTAAGGCAGCGTGTGTGATCCTACCTACCTTTACACGCACAGCTCTTCAGCACTTCGACCATGGAAAATTGTTACGCCTTGCCTGCACTTCACTTCCCACAAGAGTTAACTTTACCCCTTAGTTTCCCTAAAAATATTGCTCCAGATGTCAACACCTTAGAGTTTCAAAACTACATAAATGCGCCTAGCAACTCGGTGAAGTGGGAGAGCATAGATTCCCAAGTTAACGGTTGAAGAGGCTTAAGGATACACAAGACTATGCTGCGCCTCAGCCTGCTCAGTGGCAGATGCAAATGGGTGGATTGCATTCATTAAACCGAGACAACGTTGAAGTAGAAATAATTCACATTAGAAGTGGAAGGCAAACATGGAATGAAGGTCAATCTGTTAAGTAGAGGATTTGGCGTAGCTAATCAAGCTCCTAAAATATGTACAAGAGCATTACATTTGATCTCTCATCGATATAATTATGCAAATATTGTTTTTTACCCTGTATTGCAGACCAAATAAGAATTGATTAAAATACGCACAGGGTTTTGTTAAAGGTGTAGCAGCTTGTCAGTTTGTTCAACTGAGTTCTCAACTACATAGTTACTTCACCATCTGGAGGTTGTAATTACATTTTGCAATATGTCTTCAAGAGAGGATTATGGTCTCCCAACCCTTTT